TACAATAGCGCCCCAGATGCCGTCCTCGACACGGAAGAAGTCGTAGGAGAATCCCAAGTCTTGCGAGAACTTCACGAGCAGGTCGATGCAGAAGCCGGAGCAACAACGGAAGTAACTAGAGTTCCTCATCGCCCAGCTGACGTTCACCCTGAACGAGGAAAGACATCGTTCTGGGTCATCTAAGGTCACATCATACCAGGGTAAGGTCACATTGTATTCCAGGGGGAAGATTTTTATATTTTACCTCATACTCCTCCTCTCCTTACGCCTTCCTCTTTGTATTGGACTGATGAAGCCACTGTGTGGCGAAACGTTTCCTGGATAAAGATTCCCATATGTTGCATAAGTGTCTCAATCTTCAACTTGTCGGTTTTCCAAACCATTCATCACAACTTCCCTAAGTTATAATTAACCAGTGTTGGAACCTTGAAGACGAGAGAACAATGAGCTCTCAGGTTATTAATGGAAATATTCCAGGAAAAATGAAATAAATCCAACAACCACTATAGGTACTACTCCATGTCAAGAGATAAGTAATAAAAAAGTTATAAAATGTTGGAGGGGCCAGAAATGAACGAACCACTCTACGTCAAATAATGAACACTGTAACAAGAGAACCTGTTGTAGAGACGGAACACAAACGTCATTTTAACTCTCTCTATATCACCTCGTATTGGCAATATTCTGGAGTTTATATCTCCTTTTTCCCCCCACTGAGCCCAGTCTATTAAGTTACTCAAAATACAAATTTTCCATCGTGAACAACAAGTCAAATAAGAAAAAGCTGCTACTAATAATATAGGTAAAAAAATTAACTTTCACCTCGAACATATTGCGATCCTTATAAAAAAAAATCTGAGGGAAAGAAAGTACAATATAGTCATATCTTCATTAGAATAGTTAATGCTCATCAACAATGATTTTAACGTAGTTTCCCTTATAATAATAATAATAATAATAATAATAATAATAATAATAATAATAATAATAATAATAATAATAATAATAATAATAATAATAATAGTAATGTTTATTTAGACATGATATTATTATTATTATTAAAGATTAGCCGGTATTCTCCCGGCCCGGGCCTTTTCCAAGTGGTGGCCCGGCCTTGGCTCCCTCTTTAGGGAGTGTCTGAGACCTAAGTCTCCCATGGGAGGAGGCACAAGTACCTCCTCATCTTTGGGACCAACTGTCCCCAGGCCTAGCCACAAGCTAGGCCTCTCTGGTCTGCCATCCCCGCCACAAGGGGGTAAATGGGAATGACAGTCTTGTGAGCTAAAGGCTCCGGCTCAGGCACCTACCCTACCCTAGAAGGGCTGGGCATGGTGTCGATCAGACATGATACATAGTTATACAAGGAATTATAGTAGTTGGGTGTAAATGTCAAAAGCCCTTTGTTAAGTATGTAATATCACTATTTAATGTTTTAAATATTAAACATATTAATTACATAAAATACAATGATTAAAATGATCACATAAATTATAAAGATTACATCGATTACCCATAGTATAGGTGAGTACAAATAGGAAGCGCGTCTGTCAGGCGCTCAGTAGACGGAGGATCAAACCTTCACCGCGTCTTGCGCTGAGTGACCCACATGGGTTAAGCGCTTAAAATTAATTAAAAAAAATCGATTACCCTTATATTTATTAAAATTTAACATAAATTCTTGATACCTCAACACTGATAACACTGAATACAATTATTAAAATTTCCCGTTTTCTTCTAGAAATTCATCGATACCATGCCTAACCCTTCTAGGGTAGGGTAGGTGCCTGAGCCCGAGCCTTTAGCTCATAAGACTGTCATTCCCATTAGCCCCCTTGGGGCGGGGATGGCAGACCAGAGAGGCCTAGCTTGTGGCTAGGCCTGGGGACAATTGGTCCCAAAGATGAGGAGGTACTTGAGCCTCCTCCCATGGGAGACTTAGGTCTCAGACACTCCCTAGAGAGGGAGCCAAGGCCGGGCCACCACTAGGTAAAGGCCCGGGCCGGGAGAATACCGGCGAATCTTTAATAATAATAATAATTCTAGAAACTGACAGACTCGAAATATACCATGACTACTGGACTTCTTACAATCTTGTAAATGTCTTCGTCACTCTTCATGACCCTGATCCACAACCTCGTTACATCTAAACTCTATATCTTACTTGTATTCCAAAGTTCCCTTCCAGCGTAGTTCTAATTTCTCCAGCCCTCCAGTATCATCCTACCTATGTCCACCAACTCTTTAACTGCCAGTGTCACTGGGCGACGTTCTTAGTGCGCTTTGATTGAGTTGTTTGCGAATGTAGTTTGTGCCACTTTCCCCTCGTGCTAACACCCGACTTGCACGTCCAGTCTTGCAAACAGTGCTAACACCCGACTTGCACGTCCAGTCTTGCAAACAGTGCTAACACCCGACTTGCACGTCCGGTCTTGCAAACAGTGCTAACACCCGACTTGCACGTCCAGTCTTGCAAACAGTGCTAACACCCGACTTGCATGTCCAGTCTTGCAAACAGTGCTAACACCCGACTTGCATGTCCAGTCTTGCAAACAGTGCTAACACCCGACTTGCACGTCTAGTCTTGGAAACAGTGCTAACACCCGACTTGCACGTCCAGTCTTGCAAACAGTGCTACACACCCGACTTGCACGTCCAGTCTTGCAAACAGTGCTAACACCCGACTTGCACGTCCAGTCTTGCAAACATTGCAACACCCGACTTGCACGTCCAGTCTTGCAAACAGTGCTAACACCCGACTTGCACGTCCAGTCTTGCAAACAGTGCTAACACCCGACTTGCACGTCCAGTCTTGCAAACAGTGCTAACACCCGACTTGCACGTCCAGTCTTGCAAACAGTGCTAACACCCGACTTGCACGTCAGTCTTGCAAACAGTGCTAACACCCGACTTGCACGTCCAGTCTGCAAACAGTGCTAACACCCCGACTTGCACGTCCAGTCTTGCAAACAGTGCTAACACCCGACTTGCACGTCCAGTCTTGCAAACAGTGCTAACACCCCGACTTGCACGTCCAGTCTTGCAAACAGTGCTAACACCCGACTTGCACGTCCAGTCTTGCAAACAGTGCTAACACCCGACTTGCACGTCCAGTCTTGCAAACAGTGCTAACACCCGACTTGCACGTCCAGTCTTGCAAACAGTGCTAACACCCGACTTGCACGTCCAGTCTTGCAAACAGTGCTAACACCCGACTTGCACGTCCAGTCTTGCAAACAGTGCTAACACCCGACTTGCACGTCCAGTCTTGCAAACAGTGCTAACACCCGACTTGCACGTCCAGTCTTGCAAACAGTGCTAACACCCGACTTGCACGTCCAGTCTTGCAAACAGTGCTAACACCCGACTTGCACGTCCAGTCTTGCAAACAGTGCTAACACCCGACTTGCATGTCCAATCTTGCAAACAGTGCTAACACCCGACTTGCATGTCCAGTCTTGCAAACAGTGCTAACACCCGACTTGCACGTCCAGTCTTGCAAACAGTGCTAACACCCGACTTGCATGTCCAGTCTTGCAAACAGTGCTAACACCCGACTTGCACGTCCAGTCTTGCAAACAGTGCTAACACCCGACTTGCACGTCCAGTCTTGCAAACAGTGCTAACACCCGACTTGCACGTCCAGTCTTGCAAACAGTGCTAACACCCGACTTGCATGTCCAGTCTTGCAAACAGTGCTAACACCCGACTTGCACGTCCAGTCTTGCAAACAGTGCTAACACCCGACTTGCATGTCCAGTCTTGCAAACAGTGCTAACACCCGACTTGCATGTCCAGTCTTGCAAACAGTGCTAACACCCGACTTGCACGTCCAGTCTTGCAAACAGTGCTAACACCCGACTTGCATGTCCAGTCTTGCAAACAGATATACTGCTGAGAATGAAAACAGATGCACATTTTACTTACCTTGCTTAGCGGTTGGGTTTAGTAACGACTCTTTTCCTTATTCTCCGACATTTCCTCTCCCTTCCTTCCTATTCTCCGTCCTGTCCCTGTTTCCCTCTCACCCCATGTGGGTTCTTACCTGTGAGTCCTCTGTTCTCCATTTTATATAAAATGTTATAATTATGACCATAATTCTTAGAGGGTGGACCGCTAAGCCAGGGAAAGGGCTCGGTCAGATGAACAAAAGCTCCACGGGTGGGTCATCATATGGCTAAGACCCACATCAGGAAACACTTGTCATTTTTCCTGACAAACCTTACGTGACCTAACCTTCTCTCCATTAGGTCAGGTCAGCTTTATCAGGAAATGCGGGTCTTAGTCATATGATGACCCGCCGTTGGAGCTTTTGGTCATCTGACCGAGGCCTTCCGCTGGCTTACCGGTCCACCCTTTTAAAAATTATGGTCATAGTTATGATCATTTATTTTTTTCTCTCCACTAAATTCACATTTATTATATTAACAATATGATAATTTTTTACAATTTGTCAAATTAACACTCATTTCACAATTCATCTCATTTGTACTTTTCTCCTTAATTTTAATTATCGATGAATTGTTTTTGTATCATATTGTAAAAAATGTCAACGAGGCAATAGTAATAATAAAATAAAACCGAATACAACAGAGACAGGATAATAAAACACACACAAGACTTATTATATCAACATACTTAAGTTTACCCTCGTCATGTCATGTTTATTTAAGCACCTCGAGTCAAGTCTTAAGGTCGATACAGAGGGAGACGAACAGATGCGGTTTCCCTGTGAGAGAAGTGTCTTGTCTTGTTGTGTGAGTATAACCCAGTTTAACTCCCTCTCCTCACACACACAGGGGTTGAGTCACAGCTCCTGGCCCCGCCAGAACTGTGAATCAACCCCTGGCTGTTTTCAAGAAGGCACTGGACAGGCACCTAAAGTCAGTACCTGACCAGCCGGGCTGTTCTTCGTACGTTAGTTTGCGTGTGGCCAGCAGTAACAGCCTGGCTGATCAAACCCTGATGAGTACATACTCAGAACACACAATAAGCCCTCTTGGCCCCAGTAATATTTTTTAAAGTGATGGACTGGTAAGCCAGTGGAAGGCCTCGGTCAGATGACCAAAAGCTCCAGCTGCGGGTCATCCTAAAACCAAGACCCACGTCAGGAAACACTTGTTCTGTTTCCTGACAAATCTTACCTAACCTAACTGACTCACGAAATCGTAATGACACGATTGCAAACAAGCCATACCACGGGTGGGGTTTGAACCCCAGTGCCTAACGAAACGGTCTGGAGTTTTGAGAGTCTCTGACCGCGGGTTCAAACCCCACCCGTGGTATGGTTTTTCTTTTTTCTTACCTAACCTAAGGAGAAGAGGACCTTGGAAACAAACACAGCAACGGAAAATAAATTGAAAGTGTTATTATTGCAGATGGGATAACGAATAACAACAATAAATGGTAAGAAATAACGAAGCAGGTTAGGCAGAATGAGGAAAATAACAAGATAAAAACGCCTGAGTTTTGAAAGAACACCGGTGCAGTAAACGCGAGAGTCAGGATATATTTAGGGAGGATAAAACTGCACCAAACTAATTATAATATTAAAAATATGTAATGTGGGAGCTTCCAGATAGGAATAAAATACTTAAAATGTGGATATTTAGACAGTATAAATTATGTAATTTGGACAGAATAACTTATAATTTGGAGAGGATAACTATTATAATTTGGACAGGATAAATTAAAATTCGGACAGGATAAGTTATTGTGATTTCTGCAAAACAGCTGTTTGTGATTTTTGGATAAATAAACTGACTACAGCTTATTGAGAGACGGAATTTTATCTTGGACAAAGAAACTGGTTGTGAAATCCCATCGACACCATGCCTAACCCTTCTAGGGTAGGGTAGGTGCCCGAGCCCGAGCTTTTAGCTCATAAGACTGTCATTTCCATTTGCCCCCTTGGGGCGGGGATGGCAGACCAGAGAGGCCTAGCTTGTGGCTAGGCCTGGGGACAGTTGGTCCCAAAGATGAGGAGGTACTTGTGCCTCCTCCCATGGGAGACTTAGGTCTCAGACACTCCCTAAAGAGGGAGCCAAGGCCGGGCCACCACTTGGAAAAGGCCCGGGCCGGGAGAATACCAGCGAATCTTTAATAATAATAATTGTGAAATCCTGTAGACGAGAGAGAGAGAGAGAGGGATAAAGTTATTCTGGAGGATCGTGAAGGAATGGAACAGGCTACAAAAAAATAAAAAAAAGAAAAAAAGGGGAAATTTGAGAGGACATCCCGTGGAGAAAATTACACATATGCATAGTCACAGTTTGAACACACAAAGCTAAAACAGAGTCTGATTCAAGCTTAGAGCTAAAAATCGAGTTTTCACTCCCGAAGGTAGAACAGCTATAGTACTCACCCTTGCATCATCTCGTCCGAGGCTATCCTACAGGGAACGCCCTTGTTGGCCGTACACTTGCCCGTCACAGGGTGCGGAGGGTCCATGTTGATGAAGGGCGGCTCTTCCATGAAGGTTATCTGTGAGGTGGAGGGGAAACACTGCAAGTTAGTTTGAAACCAGCTGGATCAGGCACTCGGCGTGAGCCAGTCACACAGAAATTTAGATTCACCAGGTGAAGACTGAATTAGAATTCACTTAGCCAGAAGGAAAGGTAGAGTCGGCAGTTGGTTGGAAAGTTCCGCCACTTGGAGATTACGTTCTGTGTTGTGGACAGCGAAGTGTGTGTGTGTTAGGTGAGAGGACACGCACATCTAATGTGGTATTTTATTGCGGCAACGTTTCGCTCTATAGGAGCTTTGTCAAGCCAACACGGAGTGCTTGGGAAGAAAAAATATCCCAGGGCCTCACTTCTATGAAATAAGTCAATATAGTCACTGGAAAGGCGCAAATACTTAGCAGAATAATTGATTGGTTGATTAATGGGGCTTAAAGACACTTAAGACACAAGTCCTTATGACCGCATACCACCTATTCGCCACCAGTCCAGAAAACATTAGTCTGATAAACATACACCTCTGTGTATGTGTAGGTTGAAGGCAACAGTAAATTCAGGAGTCTGTCTATTTACAAACAGATGTAAGATAGATAACCTGACTCTCTCACAATTAATTCTGGAACTATGGAAAATAAAATTTGTGTACAATTACAGAACATTTATATACAAATATTTTCCTGACGACTGGCTTCGCCAATAAGGTTGGCGGAGCCATTCTTGGCGAAATGTCTCCTATATATAAATGTCGTGAACTATACACAGGTGTCCTTCGCTAGAATTGGTCGGTATCACCATGTCATTTACAACCTACTGCTGGAACAAGACTGTTTAATTATCATATTATTTTTCAAGAAAATGCTGAATGGTCCCCCATACCTCGTTTCAGATAGACTTAATTACTGGTAATACAGCACTTTCAATTATTTCTTGTGTACCGTAGTGCACAGTGTATACACAGTTCACGCGGGGTGCACACAGTGGCACACACACAGTTCACGCGGGGTGCACACAGCGTGCACACACACAGTTCACGCGGGGTGCA